TAAACCATAAGATTGACCATGAGACAATGATTCAACCTTCCCTTATGTATGCCAGTGATTGTAATTCTCTTAAATCCAGTAGGATTATAAGTACAAATTATTGAAAATATAAGTAGTGTTTTGCTTTTGGAATTTCGCGTACAAGCTTTTTAAGCCTGATTATGGTAATAAAACTACCATAAACCATAAGATTGACCATGAGACAATGATTCAACCTTCCCTTATGTATGCCAGTGATTGTAATTCTCTTAAATCCAGTAGGATTATATGTACAAATTATTGAAAATATAAGAAGTGTTTTGCTTTTGGAATTTCGCGTACAAGCGTTTTAAGCCTGATTATGGTAATAAAACTACCATAAACCATAAGATTGACCATGAGACAATGATTCAATCTTCCCTTATGTATGCCAGTGATTGTAATTCTCTTAAATCCAGTAGGATTATATGTACAAATTATTGAAAATATAAGAAGTGTTTTGCTTTTGGAATTTCGCATACAAGCGTTTTAAGCCTGATTATGGTAATAAAACTACCATAAACCATAAGATTGACCATGAGACAATGATTCAATCTTCCCTTATGTATGCCAGTGATTGTAATTCTCTTAAATCCAGTAGGATTATATGTACAAATTATTGAAAATATAAGAAGTGTTTCGCTTTTGGAATTTCGCGTACAAGGGTTTTAAACCTGATTGTGGTAATAAAACTACCATAAACCATAAGAGGATTTATCATCCTTAAAATATAAAAAGATTTCCTGTTTCATCTTTTTTTTTGTATTTTGTTAATGTTAAATATGATATTCTTTTGCCTATAAAAAGCAGAAACTTTTATTTTTTCTTAAAAAATTTTTTAATTCAAAATGTAGGTCAGCGTTTTTTTATTTTTTAGAATTTTTATTTTTTGCTTTAAAGTTGACTAAAGCACAAACTGGCTTTACTTCTAGCCTTTCTTTTCTTTTCTTTTTCCCTTTGTAAACCCATTATTTGATCACTTGAAAATAAGAAATAGCAGGGGGCAAACATGGATGTATGTTTGCGTAGATAGATTTTGTAATATCCATCCCATCATTAAAAAAAATGTTATGTTTGGATGTTCGACAGAGAAAATAAAATTTCATCGATTTTTTACTGTTGATATTTAAAGGCCTCTTCTTATTCTTTTTGGAATGTTTGTTGGCATACAGATTTTTTAAGCGCCTTTTTTTGTACGCCAGTGGTCTCACCCTATTTTTCCACAATTGTTTTCGAATACAGGTACTTTCCCGATTTTCGTATATTTCTGGTCACGTGCTCGTTAAATGCTATTATTTGTCACGCCGTAATGAATTTTTAGCATATTTCGTGGCAACTATAAAATTTCTTTTGATGTACGTTTCCACGTATCAATTACGCTTTTTGTAATTGACTCTTCATTGTTATAACAATTTTTCTTTATTAAATTATCATCATAAGGACCAAATTCAGTGAGATTTTTTTATCTTAAAAATTTTAAAATAGTAGTGATAAATACAAAGATCACATATTTGGATGATCTTCAGAATTGTATTCCCCTCCTCCCCCTCCCTCCAACATATTTAATATTATAATAGTACGTATACTTAGAAGCTCTTCAGGTCTTGGGAATGATTGATTCGAAACGGCGATAAAACGGACATACGGTGCAGTTATAATATTAAAGCTTATTTTGTTCGCTTAACAGCACAGGAATGGAGAAAATCTACATTTTTTTCCTTAAATATCAGTGTGGCTGTCAGATTAAATACATATTTTGTCGGATTAATTTCACAGTGTCTTTTTATTATGTTTGTTAAATAAAAGAATTGCCTGTTTCAGTCAGAACCCAATGAATTTTTTTAAAAAAAGGTATAAAGTGAAATCTTAATTTAGCTCATTCCATTGGCGCGAAAACAATGACAAACTGCACCTATAACTCGTTTTTTTTAAAAGAGATATTCTGTTCTGCACGAGGACAATAATTCTCCAAGTTAAAGAAATAAAGGCAGGTATTAAAATAAAATCCAACCGAATTTACAATTTTTAACTTGGGTAAATTACAATCGAAAATTTAAAAAGAATTATAAATTTTTATGGAAACATATGTTAGTAATTTTCGAAAAAGGAATTAATACGAATGGGGCTTACTTTTGAGATGTTTTTAAAAGAGAAAACTTAAATTTGCATATAAATATAATTTAAGATTTATTCATATATTCAGTAATATTTATATGATTCTATGCATAATATGCTTGAATGTTCTCTATTGGACACTTTTTTTAAAAGATAATATGGATTTCGGAATTAACCAGTGCACACATTAAAACTGAATTTAACTTTTTTGTTTGTTTATTTTGGTACATCGGTTTAAATTTGTCTTTGAGGTTCCATGTAAGGAGAATGCTTGGGTAGCTGTTTAAAATAGAAAAAGTTCAGAAAAATAGCCGAAACTGATGATGTACCAGTTTCGTTTGTATCAGTTGATGTAACTGATTTATTTCATAAATCAATCATACATAGTTTCAGTTACATAGTTGATTTTTCAGCATACTTTTATTGAATTGAAACAGTTTTATTTCTTTCTATATTTTTTACATTAGTGGATAAACATAGAATAACGAGAAAGGATCAAACCAGACTTGGAAGTGACACATGACTTAAATAAAACCACCCAGAATTGTAGAGAGCTAAATATTCATCAGAAAAACTACTGGTTCTGTAGAAACGGAAAGAGGCTTTTTACAACTATCAATACAATTTTCGATATGTTCACATCGAAAAAAAAAATAAGTCGCCAAAATTCATCTTCATCTTAATTGTCAAATACTGCTATAAGTTAGAGAAGAATTCCTTTTTTCCAGACATCGTTGCAAATATCTTAATAAATTAAACTTTTTTAAAATCTAAGAATGATACTATATTTGTGCTATTATCACGCCATAAAAATGACAGCATGTACAAAAAAATGCGCTGTTTGTGTTAATTATGATTTATCGTTTGGTGAAAAAAGAAACTTTCTTTTTGTTTTTATTGTCGTCGCTGTATTTAGATTTTCAATAAAAGGCTTAGTAAAACTGTATTGCATTAGTCTTGCAAGAAGTATTTAACGTAGTTTAAGATGATTGAAAAGAACCTGCAAAATGTGCGATGAACTAAAAAGACATTGCTGTACTCGACACAGAAAAGGAGGTAAGCAATTTTCTTATATTTATTTCGAATGAATGGAATAATTTAATATCGGTATGCTAATCGTTTTGGGTGTGATTTTGATATCGCGTCAAAGAGATCTTTGGCGGCCTGTCTAATGTCGTATTGTAATGTTATCGCCCTAACTTGGCGAAATTTTGCAACTATTTGCCGGAAATTTCCGTTGCATATTGATAGTACTGAATAATAAATTTACAAAGGCAGTGATTATTTAGACTTATCAGCCAAGAGGTATTTCTTGGAAATAACTAAATGACGATTTTTGGTTATTCGTTCTCTTTTTTTTGATTTGCGCTAAATCCGCTGCAATCCCGCAAGAAAAAATTTCTGTAATATTTTTACTTTCGTTCACTATGTGAAGATCGAGAATTCCTATTTTCTGTATTCCATGCGCGTGATTTGATTCATAAAACATATAATTATGTGATTTTTATGTGTAAAATAAATATATATTTTAAATAAAACACTGTTTTATAACACATCGCCATGGATCGATGTGTTATGAAACAGTGTTTCATATTCTTCGCAACATTTATGATAGAAACATTTCCAATGCAGAAATATGATCAATTGACGAACAATTCTTTATTTAATTACGCAATTGGGAAAATCCTCAAAAGTAATCTAAGAATTTTGGTCATTTCAGTGGCTAGACATCTGATTTTTATTTTGCTTTCTACTGTATGATTTGCGAGACGTATATCGACAGCTTTACCAATGATGCTAATTTCTTTTTTTAATTTCGAATAAAAATAAAATTCTGTATTCAATTTTTAAAATTTTTGTTGCGTCTGAGGAATACTAAAAATAATGCACGTATGAAAATAATATGAAGCGACATCAGTATCTTAATTTAAAATACTGCTGGCATATTTCTTTGTAAATCTTTCCAGTGTTATTTACCTCAGTTTTTATTATAGGTTGGTAACTATTTTTGAAATTAAAATAAATAACTTTTTCACACAGCATACGGATGCCATTAAAATATAAATAAATTTTTAGAATTATAAAATATAAATAAATTTGAAAGACTACAGAATTTTTTCGTGCAAATTTTCGACTAGATCTTTTTTTCCGTCGAAGGTATTTGATCCTAACAATGAAAAAAGAATATTTGTCAGGGCTACTGATATGCCCCTTAGTAATAATTAGTTAAAAGACGACCAAAAACAATGTGAAAGCCGATAATTTTTTTGAAAAAAGCGTCAGTCACAAAAACTGATGTGAATTTACCTTGAATTGCAGTTTTTGCATTTTATAAAATTTATTTAATATTGTGTTGCTTTTACGCACCTTAAAAATTTTAATTTTACGCATATTTTTGCATTTTAAAAATATTTTCATTTAAGCATTATCTCCACGAAAGAATAAAAAGCCCTCGTGTAGCTAAACAGTGCGACGTTAATATTCACTCACCCTCGAAAGAATAAACCATTTTTTTTTATTTAAACGTTTTTTATTCTTTACGTTAAACATACCACGATCGGCCAATTGAGCAGTTGTAAATTAACAAGTAATATAATTTTTTTAAAAAAAAATCAATTTTTACTTAGGTCAACAAAGAAAATTTTACTTTAGTTACTTTTTATTAAATAATGACAATATAAATATGTTTATACATATGACAAAATCACAATATTATGTGGCAAAATAGAGAAAGTGATTTTCCATTTACCTTTTTATATACGGCGTTGGACTATTATTTTTGTTTGTTACTATTTGTTCATCAATTAAATTTAATTATTCCAATAAAATAGTATAGTAAAAAGAAATTACATTCTCAGAAATTAGGCCATCCCAGGTGGGATTCGAACCCATGACCTTTGGATTAGAAGTCCAATGCCATATCCATTGCGCTACAGGGATACAGCGAGCGATTTTCCTTTTTATATAATATTATTTGGACTGTTATTTTTGTTTGTTACTATTTATTCATTAATTAAATAAAAAATGAATTAATATTTGAAAAAACTGTATTAACATCAAGTGTCATCCACTACAAGTTTAAAAGAATGTATTTTAACTTGAGTGGATGAATAAGAATAATTTTATTAACGATTGAAAATTTGAACAAGATATATTTATAAATAAATATATATATATATATATATAGAGTGGGAACTATAATAGTATAGGCATTGAAGAAAAAATCATGCTTTCACTAACTTGATTTTGCAGTTTTTTTTTTCCTTTTATATAAATACAGTAAAACCTGTTTTTGTGCGGTAGATAAGAAACCGCATAAAAAGAAACCACACAAAAAATATTTGAAAATTTCATAAATACTTACATATAACAAACAACTTTGCGGATATACTACAGAAAATTATTTTTATGCGGTGGAGGGGACCGAAAATCATACTTAGAAAATACGTCAATTATTTACTAAATTTATGAGAAAGTACTTCTAAAAAAATAAATAAATAATTATATCACTCATGGAAACATTTTAAAATCATTTAATTTCACATTGTATACATGGAGAAGTTTTCAAAATACTCATATGTAATTCACTACTACTCATCTTAATCCAAAGCGCGCATCTTCCTGTGGGTTAGTTCAAACTCGCTTTCATCATTTGAAGATACAATTTCAATTGATTTATTTTTCGGTACCATAAAGTAAGTGGTAAGTTTTTACGACGACGGTCGGTTGGTCAGTTTCTTGATCAGATATGCATGATCGAAGCTCTTTTTGGAATTTCAAACTCCCTTCGGAATTGGTATCTATTTTAAGAAAATGCTTTACCTATTTGTAGGAAAGTTAGATCCCTGCATATATTTTATCCTCTCAAAGAATTCTGTTATTCTTGTCCGTCTTCATAATCTATCAAATTACTGCCATTGAAAGCTTCGTCTTCAATACGCATGCTGCAATGTTTTGAGAGAAAGGAATTGAACGCGTGTATATTGTCGAGAGACTGTTTAAAACAAATAAACAGAGCGTCTTGAAGTGTATATATATGTACATTGATAGAAAATATTACAGTGGCGCAAAAGCCGTTGAAATTCATATATAACATAAAAAAAAGATCGCATAAAAAAGATCCGCACAATAACAGGCACTACTGTATATAGAATTTTTGTGTGTGCTTATTTTAATACATGTATTCTACAGTTATTTACCATGGTCGGTCATGTGCTTGAGGATAAGCTTTTTAAATTTTTTTATTTACAAGGTTATTGGATTAGAAAACGTAGCATACAAAGCACATTCATGCATTCTATCAGTTTTCTGCGTACTTCCACAAGGACTTGAGTAGTCAGATAAAAATAGTTGATAACTAGAATTTTACGTAAGTACCCGAAGTTTCTAGTTTTAAGTAGCATTCATGAGTAAGAAAAGATAGGGGGAAAGGAAAAACAATAGTAAAACTCACAAGCAGATATTTTTCGGAAACTTGATGAAGATTAACTCTTTGACAGAAAATTTATAATTTGATTATGATAAATAATTGTTTGACTCTGTTTATAAGTTCACAGATACCAAGAATGGAGATTAGTTCGTTATAGTTGGTTTTAATGGCACATGAAAGCCATATCTGGCCAAGTCAACATTTCTTAATATGTCAGAGCTTAAATTTATCATGTGAATAATTGTTAAACATATATAATTAATCTGTAGATGCTGAGCAAATGTAAGAAGAAAAAGGGTAAATATTGATTGGACAAGAACGAGGTCACACAACTAGGAACGATCGCTCAGACACCCCGAGGGTACGTCACCCATGTTTACCAAGGATAGTAAAGCCCTTAGAAAAAATGGTGGATCACTTAGATACCTGCGAGGCACCTTTCCTTCAGTGTAATTGTTTGAATCCCACAACTGTGATAGCGTATTTTCTTAAAATATGTATTATAGAAGCTTATCCGATGTTACTAATCGATTTGTTTTGTTAAAAGTATATGTTCATGTTTATGAAGTCATAATAACAACTTTAAATCATATAGAAGACGCAAATATTTACATATGTACACTGCTGGCCACCGTAAATGCAACACCAAGAAAGATAAGAGGTAGCACAACAAAATTTATTTTGTAGATAACATGTTGACCAAGTATCAAATGATTACATTTATATACTTCTGTGTAGTGTGGTTCCTGCCAGAATCAGTAGCCAGAGTAGCCACCATTGTTGGAGATCACCGCTGCCACATGCCTCGGCATTGATTCAAACAGACTTTGGATGTGTTCTTGGGGTACAGCAGACCAAGCAGCTTCCACACGTTGCCAAAGTTGATCTGGTGTGGCAGCTGGGGGTGTAAACTGGGTCAATCGTTGAGCAATCATGAACCACATGTTTTCTATCGGCGAAAGATCCGGAGAGCGAGCCGGCCAGGGAAGCAATTCAATCTGGTGATTGACGCTGAACTTTTGGACAACGGGTTGTCGCGCATTATCCTGTTGAAATATGGCTGTGGCCAAGTCCTGAAGGTAAGGAAGGACAACTGGCTCCAACACCTCGGAGATGTAGCGCTGGCTGTTTAAAGTACCAGCAATGCGTACTAAAGGAGTGCGAGAGTGATATCCAATACCGCCCCATACCATAATACCTGATGCACGACCAGTGTGGCGGTGCATAACGCAGCTGTTCAGCATCCTCTCTCCACGGTGTCTCCAGACTCGAATCCGACCATCGTGGTGTTGCAGACGGATGCGTGACTCGTCAGTAAAGACAACTTTATTCCATTCTGCCTCCCGCATTTTTCTTTCATCGCACCATTGCCGAACTTGAAATCGTCGAAATCTCCAAGCCTTAAATAGCGCTTTGAGGTGGCGCCACAGGCGTGCGTGATGTGTGTCTGCACTGAAATTCTAATCATTTGCATATCTCACCTCCGCTAATGCATGTTGTAAATTTCATGTTATTTGAGTGCTTCCTTCTGGGTGTTGCATTTACGGTGGCCAGCAGTGTATATTTAATTAAGCAGTGTTTTTATTCAAAATTTTAACTTCATGGCAATGAATATATTTTGTTCTAGAATAATTTTACAGGATTGATTGTCTTTCAAATGTAGAAAGACGCAAGGAACTGGCAGATTGTTTTGGAATAAATCACAATTTTTTGGAATTAGTTACCATAGATTTCTTGTGGCTGCGGTAGCCAAGTTGTCAAGGAATCGGATCATTGCTAGTGTGTCATGGGTTCGAGCCCAGTACCACTGAAGACCCGTGAGCTCCAAGGTCCTCCCGTTGGTGTGGTGTGGTAGTTAGGAGAGGGGGTGCCAGCTCAGGTGTCGTCCGCGTCACTTGATCATGGTTCAAAATTACGCGGTCCGTCGCCGAAAGCCCTCGTGTAGCTGAACTGTGCGACGTTAATGTTCACTCACTCACCATAGATTTCCTTCGCACAGGAAATGTGTAACACCCATTTTAAAATATATGATCGCACAAATTTAAACACCACACAAATATGGAGCACATTAATCAAAATTTCGCTTAAGATTAATGAAACATTCACTGTGTGAAATTTTGACTGCAGTGTTTCTTTCCTGCATCGTCCTTGGATAGGCTGGGAAGAACATTCAAGGGACTTCCAAAATTTTCTTGTCAAATAATAATTGTAGAACTTTTTATATTCTTTGGAAAAACATTTTTGATGTGTAACATCTTTCCTCTCGGTTACTGGATATTTGTGAGAGTAATTTCGTGAAAAGGGACGGAAACGTGTAACAGGAAACCGGGGAAGCGCGCGCTATTTGATTTGACCAATGAGCGTGCACGGTGGCGTCGATCGACTTGCCCCCCCCCCCGGTTCATAGTTTCTTCACTAATGATGACCTGCTTTGGGCAGGGGAGGGCTTACACACAAAAACAAAAATCTTCATGTTAATCCTAAGGTGCCATTTTTTTGATGATATGGGATTGATATTTGAGGGATCGATAGTATTACCCGTTTGGTTACGAAATACAAGAACTCGACCATTCCCCCAGGTGCCTCCCCCTAGACAGAATTTTGCCAATAGCTCGACACCTGAGCCTCTCAGTCCGCTCGGACCTAGCTCATTCGATCTCTCTGCCTCCATTGTATATTATCATCAAATTTCTTGCTCATAGGATCATTCCTTGTATTTTATTTCAACGTTTAAACTTTTTTTTTAAAATTTGCAATATCTTGAAATGTATTTGAGTCTGCTTTGAGATTTGAATCACAGGTTTCCCTCGGCGAGACCCATCCATTTATCCACTTATCCCTCTTTTGGTAGACATAGGGGGCTAAAATATGTTCCCATGTTATTCCTATGGGGTTGGGTAAAATTTTGCCCCCCCTCCCTTTTAGAATTGAGCTAGGGTCCTGATATTTGGAGGTTCGATAGTATTACGTCATATCACGAGATATACTAGAAATCGACCTCCTCGGGTACTCCCCCCCCCCGCCTACAAGGCTATTTTCTTTATATTTCGAATCCTAGGCCACCTTCGCCATTCGTACCAGCCTGATTCGATAGATATCCCTATGAGTTTTCTGCACATATAATTTTATTGCAATAATCCTATTTCCTCCCCATTTCATGTTTTTAAAGTATTTTAAATTTTTTAAATTCGTCATCTCTCCGAGAATTTTTGAGTCTCTGCTTTGAAACTCGAACCATAGGTTCTCCTCGTCGAGCTACATCTTTTTATCCAATTTGTTCTATTGTAGTTGGCCCAGAAGGATGCTTCGTCGCTAAAATTAAAAACCCCATGTTAATCCTATGAGGTTTGAAGGTTTGGTGACGCCATGAACTAAGTGTGATGGGATGATGATACTTGGGGAATCCCCCCCCCTTTGCTTAGTTCAGAGTTATCCATGTTCGTTCTCGACACAGATGCCCTCCCCCCTCTTGGGGTGTTAGTTTCGTTATTTCTTCCTGCCCTAAATCCGC